AAGCAAATACAGCAATAAAGTCAGTCGGATACATTTTTTCATTTCACAATCCATGCATGTAAAAATTATGTTTACATTATTTATATATATGTAGTCTTTCAAGTGGGTAATAGCACGTCTAAAGAAACAATGGAGATATCTTAATGTTTTTGTACTTTATTGCTAAAAAATGCTTTGTTGGTGGAAAGTTGATATTAATGTTTGCTGACTGATCAGGGTGGTGGTTGCTGAACTTAGGGCTGGCTGTGGCAGTTTCTTAAAATAAAACTTAACATTGAAGTTTGCCACTTTGCTTCAATCAACTTTTCCTTTCAGGAAAGATTTCTCTGTAGCACATGGTGCTGCTTCATAGAATTTTATCCACAGGAGAACTGCATTTAAAATTGGATTCAGGCCCAGCGCCCGTAGCACAGTGTTTGAGGAGCCAGCCCCATACATCGAGGGTGGACGGTTCGAATCCAGCCTGGGAGGGCTGAACAGCAGTGACAACTGCAACGAAAAATAGCTGGGCAATGTGGTGTGTACCTGTATAGTCCCAGCTACTTGGGAGGCTGAGCCAAGTGAATCACTTGAGCCTAAGAGTTTGAGGTTGCTGTGTGCTGTGACACCACGGCACTCTACCCCAGGTGACATAGTGAGACTCTGTCTCAACAACAACAACAAAAGTAAAATTGGATTCAGTTCTTTCAAACCCTGCTGCTGGTTTTTCTTTTTCTTTTTTTTTTTTTTTTTAAGAGACAGCATCTTACTTTATTGCCCTTGGTTGAGTGCTGTGGCATCACAGCTCACAGCAACCTCCAACAAACTCCTGGGCTTAGGTGATTCTCTTGCCTCAGCCTCCTGAGTAGCTGGGACTACAGGTGCCTGCCACAATGCCTGGCTATTTTTTTGTTGCAGTTTGTCTGGGGCCGGGTTTGAACCCGCCACCCTTGGTATATGAGGCCAACACCCTACTCACTGAGCCACAGGTGCTGCCTACTGATGGTTTTTCAATTAAGTTTAGGTAATATTCTAAATCTTTTGTAGTCATTTCAACATTTATAGTGTCTTTCACTAGGAGTAGATTCCATCTCAAGAAACCACTTTCTTTGCTCATCCAGAAGGAGCAAGTCCTCATTCTTTCGCGTTTTCTCAGGAGATTGCGGCAGTTCAGTCCCATCTCCAGGCTCCAAGACGTGACTAAAGAGCTCTAGGATTCTACTTCTCTTTGCTGCTTCTACTTCATCTGCTTGGCTTCCTCTGCTGGAGTCTTGAACTGCTTAAAGTCATCCAGGGCTTGTTACTATTGATACTTTAAACTCTTCCCATGAATAATAAATGTTCTTAATGGCATCTAGAATGGTGAATTCTTTCCAGACAGTTTTCAATTTACTGTGCCCAGACCCATCAGAGGAATCACTATGTATCACAGCCTTACGAAATGTATTTTTTTTTTGAGATGGAGCCTCAAGCTATCCCCCTGGGTAGAGTGTCATGGCATCACGCTCACAGCAACCTCCAACTCCTGGGCTCAAGCGAGTCTCCTGCCTCAGCCTCCCAAGTAGCTAGGACTACAGGCGCCCGCCACAACGCCTGGCCATTTTTTGGTTGTAGCCATCATTGTTGTTTGGCGGGCCCGGGCTGGGGATTTGAACCCGCCACCTTAGGTGTATGTGGCTGGCGCCTTAGCCACTTGAGCCACAGGCGCCGAGCCTCAAAATGTATTTTTAAAGTATAATAACACGACTTGAACATCAAAATTTCTGCTGTTCCATGGCCTGGAGAGTGGATGTTATGTTAGCAGGCATGAAAGCAACATTAATCTCCTTGTACATCTCCATCAGAGCTCTTGGGTGATAAGGTGCATTGTCAATGAACAGTAATCTTTTGAAAGCAATCTTGTTTCTTAGCAGTAGGTTTAACAGTGCACTTAAAATATCCAGTAATCCATACTATAAACAGATACAGATAAATAAATAGATATGCTGTCATCCAAACTTTGTTGTTCTATTCATAGAGCACAGGCAGAGTGCTTTCGCACAATCCTTAAGGCCCTAGGATTTTAACAATGGTGTTAATCAGCATTGGTTTTAACTGAGTCACCAGCTGCATTAGCCCCAAACAGGAGCGTCAGCCTGCCCTTTGAAGCTTTACAGCTCGGCTTTGACTTCTCTGTAGCTATGGGAGTTCTAGACGGCATCTTCTTCCAAGAGAAGGCTGCTTTGTCTACACTGCAAATCTGTTGTTTGGTGTAGCCTCCTTGATGGGTTCTCTTAGCTGAGGTTTCTGGATACCTTGCTGCAGCTTCTCCAGCAGCACTTGCTGCTTCACTTTGCACTCTGTGTTATGGGGACGGTGTCCTTTCTTAAATCTTAACTGACCTCCGTGTCAGACTTTTCTTCTGCAGTTTTCTCACCTCTCTCAGCCTTCCTAGGATTGGAGAGAAAGGGCCTCTTGCCCAGGATTAGACTTTAACTTAAGGGAATGTTGTGGCTGATTTTATCTTCTATTCCGACCACTAAAACTTAATTCATTGCAGCAGTAAAAGGCCGTTTTAGGGTCTTAACATTTGTGTGTTCACTGGAGTAGCACTTTTAATTTCCTTCAAGAACTTCTTTGCTTTCACAATGTGGCCTAGCTTTCAGTCCATCTCAGCTTTCAGCATGCCTTCCTCACTAAGCTTAATCATCTCTAGGTTTTGAATTTTTTTTTTTTTTTTTTTTTTGAGACAGAGTCTCAAGCTGTCATCCTGGGTAGAGTACCATGGTGTCATAGCTCACAGCAATCTCTAACTTGGGCTCGAGTGATCCTCTTGCCTCAATTTTTCTATTTTTAGTAGAGACAGGGGTCTTGCTTTTGCTCAGGCTGGTCTTGAACTAGTGAGCTCAAACAATCTACCAGCCTTGACCTCCTAGGGTGCTAGGGTTATAGGCATAAGCCACTGCGCTCAGCAAGGTTTTGATTTTTAAAGTGAGAGACCGGAGACTTTCATATACTTGAACACTTAAGAGGTCATTGTAGGGTATCAGTTGGCCTAATTTTAATGTTATTGTGTCTCAGTGAGTAAGGGAGCCCCAAGGAGAGGGAGAGAGACTGGGAATGGCTATGGTAGGCGGAGAAGTCAGAATACACATAGCATTTATCAATTAGTTTTCCTTCTTCTGTGGGCATGGTTCCTGGTACTGCAAACAATAGTCATATCACAGATCACTAACCACAGATCACTGTAACAGATATAATACAAGTGAAAAAGTTTGGAATATTATGAAAATTACAAAATATGACACAGAGACACAAAATAAGCCCAAGCTTTTGGAAAAACAGCACTGATAGACCTGCTTGGTGCAGTGTTGACGTAAAGCCTTGTAGAAAGTACAGTATCTGGGAAGTGCAATAAAGCAGCACTCAGTAAAATGAGGCATTTAAATAAATGAGCAACCTGTCTGCATAATGGAAAAAGAAATCGAAGGAATGTTGGTTACTCGGTTGGGTAAGTTTGCTTATCTTTAACAGAAAATGTTTTTTCAACATGAAAGATAACTTTTAAGCATCGATCTAAAATTCTGAAAAAAAGTATAGTGAAAACAAAAACCAAAACACTAAAAACCAAACCTCTTGTACTGTCTTGTTATGGAAATTATTACTTGTGTTGGCAATATTTTTATGATTTTTTATATAAATAGTTTTTATATATAATTAGAATTATACTGTATATTTTCCCATCTTATGTAGTTTTATAAATCATTTTGATTGATCAATTCAAAACTGTTATGAGTTTGTTTCTGTTTGGCATTTAGTTTGAATATTTAATAGTGACGTACATGTGTGTTGAGTAGTTTTCAGTCTTAGGTACTTGAGGGGCATTTCATGATGTCAAGCAGAGAAGCACTGTCCGTCAGTGGTTAAGAACCACACTGCTCGAATTAAAATCCTTTCTTCCATTCATTAACCATATGACTGGGCAAGTTACTTAATCTCTATGCCTTGGTTCTCTCTGGTGTAAAATGTGGGTAATGCTGGCATACACCATATATATTTTTGATGAGAATTATTGCATCAGTTTTTGTGCTCTAAATCTCTTTTTGTCCAGTTTTTATGAGATTTGAAATTCATTTAAAGTGACACTTAAATATTAATGAATGATAATGTTACATGATAAGTTTTGCAGGGGAAAAAAAAGACCTTTAACCCTCTGAAATGTGTCTTGGTGGTGTCATACCAAGTATTGGGGACAAACTGAGGAGTAGATAGTTTGGGCTCTGTTGGCCATCTTCGCATCCTTTGAATCGTTGTAGTTTTAGTTTTGTGTAGTAAAGAGAGCAACACAAGAGGAATCAAAAGATCCTCATTTAGGCTCATGTGTGTCATCCTAGCATTCTGGGAGGCCGAGACAGGTGGATTGTCTGAGCTCACGAGTTCGAGACCAGCCTGAGCAAGAGCAAGACCTCATGTCTAAAAAAGTAGCTGGGCGTTTTAGTGGGCATTTGTAGTTGCAGCTGCTTGGAAGGCTGAGGCAAAAGAAACACTTGAGCTAAGAGTTTGAGGTTGCTGTGAGGTGAGGGTGACAAAATGAGACTGTCTCCAAAACAAAACAAAATAAAAGGTCCCCATTTTAGTTCTGCTTCTTTCTGATTTTTGTTAACAATATAATTATGAGCAAGTCACTTAGGTGCTTTAAATCTGTTTTCTCCTCAGTAGAGGTAGCTTGTACTTTTCCTGTCTTAGAGATGTCTTTGTGGTTCAATAAGATGTTCTGTGCAGGTGACTTGAAGACTATAAAGTATAATCTGTAGCTATACTATATTATTGTATATATATAAATAATTTAAAATGAGAGAATGCATGTAGAAGTCCTCATACTGTTATTAGGTACAGTCTTCCATAAAGGATACTCTCAGTACTGTTTGTTATTATTGTGAAGATATCCACTTGTCTCACGTGCAAAGGTTTAGATTATTAAATGGCTTACAGATATGTTGTTAATATTGCCCTGATTTTTCCCTCTTCTGTTTGTGTTTCAGACTCCTGGGAGAGTGGGCTCTCAAGGTTCTGATTTAGATTCATCAGCACCTCCTATAAACACAGTGGATGTCAATAATGAAGGCTCTTCAGAGGTATGAAAATAACAACTTGGCAGTGAAATTCAATTATTACTGAAGAGAAAATTAGCAAACATTTGGTGTAACAATTGGTGACTTGAACTTGTCTTTTGTAGGAAAAATTCTCCGAAGTTTTTCTTACAAATTGGAAAGTGACTTTTGAATCTTACTTTTCGTTGACACCTGGCTTAGTTGTATGACTAAGAAAGTGGATGCTAAGACTCTGAAAAATCATATTGCCAGTTTGTCTTTAATGCTTTAATCTCAGGTTAATGAAGGTTTTTAAGAAGTCTGTTTATAAAGAATTACTGGTTAATTAGTATCTCTCTGTGTGTATGGGTGTGTATGTGAACTGTCCTGAACTACTGGGCTAACGAAAAGTTGGGTTTGCTGAAAAATTTATTTATTATTTACTATCTTCATTAGGACTTTGTAAGAACTTCTATCTTTGATATCTTATTTTAAAACCAAGAGAAAGTGTGTAAGTCTAAAAAATAACTCACATTTTTTAAAAGTTAGCCTTAATAGTTGCCTTCTTTTTATTCTTTCTAATAAACAAGTAAAATCTTTTCATTATTGCAAAGGAGATCAGGAAAATGAAGAACATCAAAATTACCCATAATACTGCCACTAAGAGATCAACACACTCACATTTTTCCCCTGACAGTTTTTGTCAGTTGCCCCTTCCTAAGTCCAGCTGACCCACTGCCTCATCTCCCTTTTCTTTTCTATCCTCTTACCCACTTCTTGGTCTATCTTGTATTCGTTCCTGCGTATTTCTCTCTTTTTATTCAATCATCTTCCTTTTTTTTTGAGACAGAGTCTCACTTTGTCACCCTTGGTAGACCTTGGTAGAGTGATGTGGCGTCACAGCTCACAGCAAACTCAAACTCCTGGGCTTAAGTGATTCTTTTGCCTCAGCCTTCCAGGTAGCTGGGACTACAGGCACCCCCCACAATGCTTGGCTGTTTTTAGAGATGAGGTCTCCCTCTGGCTCAGGCTGCTCTCAAACCAGTGAGCTCAGGTAGTCCACCTGCCTCAGCCTCCCAAGTGCTGGGATTACAGTATAGTGAGCCACTGTGCCCAGCCAATCGTCTTTCTGTTTTGTCTCTCTCTGACCGTCTGTTTGGCCATCATCTGACTTCCAGTATTTGCATAATAACCACAGTAAGACTTGAGATGATTGTGAGAAGAAGAAATGTGTCAGTTGAGCTTTATTAAGATCTTGCAAGAAAAAGAGCATTTTCTTTACCATGAAAAATGTTCCCTGCTGTGTTCATGCTAGGATGGGCTCAGGGTGCTTGGTTGTAACCCGGAAAAGGAATCTAGCAATAATTGTTGCCCTCAGTCAGAATAAAAAAGAGAACAAAAGCCAACTCTCAAATGGCAATACTGCTGTATTTTCTTTCTTTCTTTTTTTGAGACAGTCTCACTATGTCGCCCTTGGCAGAGTGCTGTGGTGTCACAGCTCACAGCGACCTCAAACTCTTGGGCTTAAGTGATTCTCTTGTCTCAGGCTCCCAAGTTGCTGGGACTACAGGTGCCCACCACAACGCCTGGCTATTTTTTGTTGCAGTTGTCATTTAGCTGGCCTGTGTTGGGTTTGAACCTGCCACTCTCCGTGTTTGTGGCTGGCACCAAAACCACTGTGCTATGGGCGACGAGCCTGCTTATTTTTTTAATAGGGTACTTTTCCTACTTTTTGAGGTTGTTATTTTATGCTTTCTTTATCCTCAAATCTGCCACTTCTCTTGCACTCTTTTTATCTTCCCTTAATTACCTTCTATATCATTAATAATGTAGGAACCATCAGATAAATGTTCCTGTTTTATCACCGAAATTACACTTACACCAATACTATGTATTTTCTTTGTTCCGTTAGTACATGAAAGACAGGTTACTTTATTACTGAAGTTCACTTCTTTTTCTTGTGCCCTAGATTCCATTCTCCCTCATTCTCAGCTTATCTTTTCTCCTTCCTGCCACTTTATTATTTCCATCAGTATACAAATATGTTCACTGTGATACATGTGCAAACAATCAAGAAAAGAACACCAATGAATCAAAAGTAAAAAAACAAAAACCCAGATCCTCCTATGACCTGATATCCTCCTTTCAGGTACCATCTGTTACTTGTTTTTCTTCAGAGCCAAACTTCTTTAATATGCTATTTACAGTCACTCGCTTCGTATCCTCTCTCCCAATATCTGTTATATTCTTTTTAGGTAATTGAGTATTTTATCATTGTGTTTAATAGTGATGGAATAATCTCAGCTTTATTTTGATTAATATCTTGTGTATATTTTCATTTTTTTTTTTTTTTTAAGAGACAGAGTCTTACTTTATCACCCTTGGTAGAATGCTGTGGTGTCACAGCTCATAGCAACCTCCAACTCCTGGGCTTAGGCGATTCTCTTGACTCAGCCTCCTGAGTAGCTGGGACTACAAGCGCCTGCCAGAATGCCTGGTTATTTTTTTGTCGCGGTTTAGCTAGGGCCGGGTTGGAACCTGCCACCTTTGGTATGTGAGGCCGGTGCCCTACTCACTGAGCCACAGGCGCTGCCCTTCATTTTCATTTTTCTTTTTTTTTTTTAAATAGCATATATCTTACTTGGAAGTGGGAGAATCCATTGAGTTATTTTGGTTATTGATGTATTTTGATTCATTTTTGCTGTTTATGCATTTTTCTTTGTCTTTTTTTTTTTTTTTTTGTCATAGTTTGGATTTAATTTCTTTACTACATACTTTTCTCTGTTCTTCCGTAATACCAGACTCTTCTGGTTTTCTTCCTACCTCTCTATCTGTTCTTTTTTGCTGACCCCTTTTGGTAACCACCCTTCAAATGGTAGAGTGCATTGCTGGGATTAGTCCTGGCCCTACAAGTTTGGATAGTATTCATTTTATTCAGTTCTTTCAGTGTTTCTTTACTTTTGTCATTTTAAAATATATGATATCTAAATATTTTTCCCTCTTGCCATTTCAAAGACCTTTGAACACTTTGACATATGGTCTCCCATGTTATATTCTATTTTTGTTAAGTATTTTACTTTTTTGTTACGTATTTTAGATTTATGCTGTTTTCCATTCTTATAAGTTATACATTGTTGCTTCCCATTGTTACTTAAAGTTAACAGTATATTTACTGTTATATTTGTTTGCCATTTATTCTTGCATCTTCAACCTTCCATTGGCAGTTGTTTTCTTCTTTTTACAATACATCCTTGAAGATTTTCTTTAATGGGGGTTAATTTGTTAGACACTCAAGTTTAGTCTAAAATTCTATTTCTATGCTTATTCTTGAAATAAAATTTTGCTGACTATAAAGTGTTTTCAGATTTCCACCTTCTCCAGTATCCATTCAGGGCCATATGAGGTAAGAAGAAAACCCAGGGAACTCAGCCCTGTGTCCCTCCTTGAGCCCTGAGATCTCTAACTGGCCTGCCCCCTTTTCTTCCCTTTACATGGTCTTCTTATGTTTATTTACATATGTCCAGACTTGCAGGGGTGTCTAACTTTTTTTCTTCTGACACACATTGGAAGAAGAAGAGTTGTCTTGGCCATACATTAAATACACAAACACTGATGACAGCTGCTGACACCAAAGATAAGCAAAACTGTTCTCAAATAATCTATCTGTATGTGGCCAATGGGCTACAAGTTGGGCACCCCTGGGAGATTCTAGCTGTACTTAGCGGGAGAAATAGAGAAAAGTGCATATATTTTATTTTGTCTGGAACTAGAAATGTGACCATCAAAAAATTGGATTATTTTTTATTATTGAGTTAAGAGTTGTTTATCTGTACAGAGTACAAGTCCTTCGTCAGTTTTTCATTGCTTCCCTTTTACCCTGTGGTGAGGGAGGGATTTTGTGCTAGGGTTATGGCCGTAAGCTGAACATATAACGCCCGATGCTAGGCAGATGGGATCAATGGCAGTTTATTAGTCACATGTATTCAAAGCCTAAGAGAGAAGGACACCACATGCCCTGCAGGGCTACGTGAAGATCACACTTGGGAACAAAATGAACAACCAGGGGCTGTGGGAGGTAGGCCTTGTAGTATCAAGAGGATGATGTGCATTCTGCTTCCTACAGAAGGATATTTTTGGATTGTTGGAATAATTTTGCAGTCTGGAAGGGAACTGAAACATACTATTTAGGGATAAGCAAGCACTGTACCTGGTCCCTGTGATCAGGAGGGTTGTTTGACTAGGGGACCTTATCTATGGGAGGAGAATGGGGAGAGAAAGTGGTAGGCTATTTGACGGCCTCCCAGTTTCACCAGATTTTGAGGCAGCACATAATAGTGGACCTTAATGTTAGGTACAATATTAAATAGAGTTGGGCGAAACAGGTATCTTGCTTCCTTCTTTTAGAGGAATAGCATTTAAGGCTTATCCCATTGAGCATGATGGTGGTTATAGGTTTATCTTGATCAGCTTGAGGATATTTTCTATTCCTAGTTTCCTGGGAGAAGCTTCTTCCTTTCCTTCTTCACTTCTTTTTCCTTTCCTTTTTTTCCATTTTCCCTTCCACCTTTCCTTTCACCTTCATACTTTGAATGGAGTTTGAATATTGCCAAATGCTTTTCCTATATCTATTGAGATGATGTGATTTTCTCCTTTGTTTTCTGTTAATGTTGTGGATTATACTGATTGGTTTTTGAATGTTGACCCTGTATTACTAGCATAAACTCTGTTCATGATGTATTGTTATTTTAATACAGGTCAAGCATGTCTAATCTGAAAATCTGAAATCCAAAATGCTCCCAAATCTGGAGTTTTTGAGTGCCTATGTGCTGCTTTTTGAGTGCCTCCTTCATGCCCCAAGGAATGCATATTGGAGCATTTTGGATTTCAGATTAGGATACTCAACCAATGAGTATAATACAAATATTCTGCATTCAGAAAAATCTAAAATTCAAAGCACTTCTCTACTCAAGTGTTTTGGATAAGGGATATTCAACCTATACATTGCTGGATTTCATTTGCTTCTAGTTTTTGAGGATGTTTACGTT